GCCTAGGTATTTTTTTTTTTTTAATCCAGAGTACCAAGGGTGGGGCCCCTATGAAACTGCTAAGCACTGAAAGCTGAAAACCCTACGGACTGTACCGAGGAGTAAGGGCAAACTGGAAGCAAATCTGCCCCTGCACTGGGCTATGGCCATCTTTGAATCACTGGGTGGTGCCGGCTGTCCGGTCTGAAATAAAACAAAGGTGGTCACAGAATGCCAGGAAGCTGGCAGAAGTAGATGAAAATCTTTTATTGAAAAATATCATCTTATACCTTAAATTACTTTTTATATAATTTTCCAAGTCATTTCTTGTATCTAGACAAACAAGAAGGCAGGGCAACACAAGAACCAGCACAAATGAGAGACCAAAAAAGAAAAGACGCACAGGCACTCCACACCGTAGAATTATCAGGAATAATAAAAAAGATGTACAGGCGCTCCACACCGTAGAATTATCAGGAATAATAATTAGGCTCATGACGTTAAAGTGAGCTAGAACATGTTTTTGTTTTTTTTTTTTTTTGGAGACTCACTGTGTCATCCAGGCTGGAGTGCATGATCACAGCTCAGTGCAACCTCCACATCCCAGGTTCAAGTGATTCTCCTGCCTTAGCCTCCCAAGTAGCTGGGATTACAGGCACGCACCACCATGTCTGTCTAATTTTCACATTTGGAGTAAAGATGGAGTTTCACCATGTTGGTCAGGCTGGTCTCGAACTCCTGACCTCAGGTGATCCACCTGCTTCGGCCTCCCAAAGTGCTGGAAATTACAGGTGTGAGCCACTGCACCCAGCCTAGAACATATTGGTTTTTTTTTGAGATGGAGTCTTGCTCTGTTGCCCAGGCTAGAGTGCAGGGGTGCAAATCTCCACTCACTCAAGCTCTGCCTCCCGGGTTCAGGCCATTCCCCTGCCTCAGCCTCGGGAGTAGCTGGGACTACAGGTGCCCACCACCACACGCGGCTGATTTTTTTTTTGTATTTTTAGTACAGACAGGGTTTCACCATGTTAGCCAGGATGGTCTCGATCTCCTGACTTAGTGATCTGCCCGTCTCGGACTCCCAAAGTGTTGGGATTACAGGCGTAAGCCACCGTGCCCGGCCTCCAATATATGTTTAATTAGAGCTCTGGTAGGTTAGAAGAGAGCTATTTGGGCAGAAGCAGTATTTGAGTATGTAATAGCCAAGATTTTTCCAAAATTGAAGATATACGACAATCCAGACACTTAGTCCAATCAATTCCCAAGAAGATGAATAAAAAGATATACACATTCAGATAAACTATAGTTAAACTGAAGAAAACTGAAGACAGAGAAAAACTTAAACGCAGTCAATATTTATTTCAAAAAACAGCAGAAAATATGGATGCATATGACAGTGGAGTTACATCATTAATGTGTTGAAAGAAACTAGCTGACAACCTAGAATATACTCAGAAAAAATATTTTGTAAGAAAAAAAATTAAATACAAGTATCTTCAGACAAACACAACTGAGAGGATGAGCAGACCTCCTCTAAAGGAAATAATAGTGGGGGTACTTCAGGTGGAAGGGAAATGACCCTAGAAAGTCACAGAAGGATAAAACGCAATGGTAGTGGCATATATGTGGGCCATCAAAATGAACATCAACTGTAATGTGTCTTGTGGAGTTTTAAATATGGAAATAACTAAAATATCCAATAAACTCTTTTAGCATTGTCTGGGAAGAGGAAAAAATACTAATTTACATTAGACATCGGTAAGTCAAGAATGCATGTTATAATCTCAAGTGTACCACTAAAGGCTATTTATATATATAAATCAGCTATATATATGTAAATACACATAGCTTTATATATAAATATATGTAATATAGTATATATTATATATATCTGTAAATATATATAATGTTTTTTGAGACAGTCCCACTCTGTTACCCAGGCTGGAGTTCAGTGATGCAATCTCAGCTCACTGCAACCTCCCAGGCTCAAGTGATCTTCCCACCTCAGCCTCTTGAGTGGCTGGCACCACAGACACACGTCACCATGCCTGGCCAATTTTTTGTATTTTTGGTAGAGATGGGGTTTTGCCATGTTGCCCAGACTGGTCGTGAAGTCCTGAGCTCAAGCGACCCACCCACCTCAGCCTCCCAAAGTACTGGGATTACAGGTGTGATCCACCTCGCCTGGTCTCAAATTTAAAAATTTTTAAATTTAAAAATTACTGATAATTTTTAAACATCAGTAATCCAAAAGAAATCAAGAAAGGCGTAAAGAACATAAAACATGTGAGTCAAATGGAAAGTATAAAAAGACATCTTTAAATGTAAAAATATCAGTAATTTGTACAAATGTACTAAATGATCTAGCTCTTAAGTTTTGCTGTACATCGGAAAATTACCTGCAGATCTTAAAAACCACCACCAACGCACGGTTCCCATTCCCATCAGATTTATTGATGTGAAGTATGAACACGGCATTGGGACTTTTAAAAGCTTTCCAGATTCTTCTGAAGTGCAGCAAATTTGGGAGCCACCGCTCTCATTCAAGACAAAGATTATCAAATTGGATTTAAAAAATAAATACTTGGCCAGGTCTGGTGGCTCATGCCTGTAATCTCAGCACTTTGGGAAGCCAGGTGGGTGAGCTCAGGAGATTGAGACCAGCCTAGACAAAATGGTGAAACCCCATCTCTACAAAAAATTAGCTGGGCATAGTGGGGAGCACTTATAGTCCCAGTTATTTGGGGTGCTGAGGTGGGAGGATCACTCGAGCCCTGGAGGCAGAGTGTGCAGTAAGCAGGGACAGTGTCACTGCACTCCAGCCGGGGCAACAGAAGCCGACCATGTCTTAAAAACAAACAAACAACATACACATACACTTCCTTTTTTTTGAGAGGGAGTCTCACTCTGTCGCCCAGGCTGGAGTGCGGTGGCGCCATCTCGGTTCACTGCAAGCTCCGCCTCCTGGGTTCGCGCCATTCTCCTGCCTCAGCCTCCTGAGTAGCTGGGACTACAGGCGCCCACCACCACGCCTGGTTAATGTTTAATTTTTTTTTATTTTTAGTAGGGATGGGGTTTCACCGTGTTAGCCAGGATGGTCTCGATCTCCTGACCTCGTGATCTGCCCACCTCGGCCTCCCAAAGTGCTGGGATTACAGGCGTGAGCCACCACACCCGGCCACACACACTGCTTAAACTCACCTTAACTCTGAAAGTACACACAGGAAAGAAAGCTGGTGGTGTTAATACATTTCATAATTGGAAATATTCGTACTAGGCTGTATCCGTCATCTAGGTGAGAGAGCATGGCTCAGGAGGAAATATAAGTGGGAGTGGCTTAGATTTGGTTTATGTATTGGAGATATATCTTTGATGAGATTGAGTGAAGAAAGCTGCAAGAATGAATAAGCAAGAATGACTCCTAAACACCGCTCAGCAATAAAAAGGACTTAAGTATTTATCAATATATAGGTGAATTCCAACATAATTATGCCCAATGAACAGGCCCTACTTCCCTAAAGACTATTTGCGATACGATTCCACTTTTATAAAACACCAAGAAAAACAGGCTAGGCACAGTGGCTCACACTGGTAATCCCAACACTTTGGGAAGCTGAGCTAGAGGATCAACTGAAGCCAGGAGTTCCAGAGCAGCCTGGGCAACATAGAGAGACCCCATATGTAAAGAAAAAAAAAAAGCTAGGCATGGTGGTGCTCACCTGTAGTCCCAGCTACTCAGGAGGCTGAAGCAGGAGGATTGCTTAACGGCAGGAGTTTGAGGCTACAGTGAGCCCCGATAGTGTCACTGCACTCCAGCCTGAGTGACAGGGCAAGCGAGACCCACTCTCTATAAAAAGATATTTAAAAACTAGGAAACTCAAACTTAGTGACAAAAAGCAGATGGGTGGGAGGGGGAGGAGGGAAGGAAGGAGAGAGGAAAGGGTTAGAGAGAGATGGGAGACACATATTCACTGTCGATTGTGAAGATGGTTTCACAGTGTATACATGTGTCAAGACGTATCAGATTGCACACTTTAATTTGCGCCACTGCACTCCAGCCCAGGTGACAGAGTAAGGTCGCTTTCCCTGGGATCTGCCGGCCTCTCCACCCGGCGCTAGGCTGCTGCGCTGCCTGTTCGTTACCATTTCGTGCAAGTTAGCGCCGGCAACAACACACAAGACCAACACACGTGAAATGGTCCATTTTAATGCACTGCCCCCAGGGAAAGGAACATTACCGACTTCTGGCCATGTCCTCTTCCCAGTCCCAGGCAGCGGTTCCGGGTTTGGGCTCCCAGGCCCTTCGCAGCACTAGGGCGGCGCGGGTAGGGCCGCCCTCCAAGCCATGTTGGGGTCCGAGGTGACGCGCGCACGCGAGCTCGCGGACACGCACGAGGCGCCCGGGCCACAGAGGCGCGGGGCTGGCCCGGGGTCTACGCCTGGCCGAGCTCCAGGGCTCGCGGCCCGGCCCGGTGACCCCATCGCTCCCCTCCGTCCGCGAAGGCCCCGCGGCGCCGCGCATGCGCCCCGCGCCGCCCCCGCCCCCACCGCGCCCGCGCCTAACGCCCCCACCGCGGCCCGCGGGCCATGGAACCCGCCGAGGCCGGCGCGGTTCGAGAGCTCCGGTGCGCGCGTTCGGGCGCCTTTCCCCCGTGAGCCCGGCGGCTCTCGGACCGGGCCGCCCGCCGCCGGGCCGCTCCGCCCGCCTCTGCCGCCGGCTGGGCGCGCCCCCGCCGCGGTGCCCGCGCGTGCGCGCCTCCGTCGCCGCGTGTGAGTGTGAGTGTGAGTGAGTGTGAGTGGGTGTGGGTGCGAGCCGGGCCGCCGACGATGCCGCGGGGCCGCCCCCCGAAGCCCAGGGAGAGCAAGGCGCGCGGCGACTCCGGTAAGGCCCGCGGCCGCGCCCTCGCGCCCCGCCGGCGGCCGGTGCGGGGCCCGCGCCCTGCCAGTCCCCGGATGCGGCGCGGGGGGCGCCGGGAGCGGCGGGGCGGGGGCGGGGGCCGCGCAGACCCGGGCCGCCGCCGCCGCCGACTGGCCGGGCGGGCCGCAGCGCGGGCGGAATGATACGGGCGAGTCGCCGCCCGGCCCCTCCGCGCGCTGGGCCTACTTTCCTGGGCCGGGCGGCGGCTGAGGCGGGAGGCGGGAGGCGGGTGAGGGAGCAGGCGGCCGCCTCCTCCGCGCGCCCTGCCCCCGCCGGCCCTGTTGCGGCCCGCGCTAAACTTGAGGGAAAGTGGCCGCCCCGTGTTCCGTCCCGGGGCGGGAGGGCCGCGGGGCGCGCCGGGGAGGCGGCCTGGCTAGAGCCCCGGCCTGCGGACACCGCTCCCCGGGCTCCTCCCGGACGGCGCCCCCGCCCGATCTAGCGCGGCGCCGGCTGCCCCGGGGACGTTGGGCTCGGCCCACAGGGAGGCCGTGGAGCGCGGGGTCGTGCACACAGTAGGCGCCAGCGTTGTCCGGGAAGCTCAGGGTCGTGCACACAGTAGGCTCCAATGTTATCTGGGGAGCGCTGTGGGTCGTGCATACAGTAGGCGCCATTGTGATCCGGGAACTTGAACCCTGAGCCTTTGGAGACGCTGTGGATAGTGCATACATTAGGCGCCATTGTGATCCGGGGAGCTGGAACCCTGGGCATTTGGAGAGTGCTGTGGGTCGTGCAAACAGTAGGCGCCATTGTGATCCAGGGATATTGAACCTGGAGCTTCTGGAGAGCGCTGTGGGTCGTGCATACAGTAGGCGTCAGTGTTATGTGGGGAGCACTAGATCGTGCACACAGTAGGCGTCAGGAAGTGTTTTCCCCAATAATTTATGCTCCATGGTACTTTGCTAAAGTCATAAAATAACTCGGATTTTGTTTTCCAAGGAAGAAAGGCCCAGAATTTAAAAGCAGGCAAACACACAACCGGCCACCCCCAAACCTTGGCCCTTCCAGCAGTCAGGAATTGACCTGCTTTCCGCCCCAGCCCGGAGCTTGAGGAGCGGACTTCACGGCGCAGGGGGAACGGGGCGCGCTCGCCGGTGCCGGTGCCGCGGTTCCCAGGTCGAGGGCAGTGGGGTAGGGGGGCGCCGCGCCTTTTCTCGCGGGCGCTGTGGTTCCCGTGCGGCCTTGGACGCGAGTCTTCCCCCGGCAGGCCCGGTTCCTGGGCCTGGTCACCCGTGCAGCTGGAGCGGCGCTCCGCGTTTGGAAAAGGTTCTGAAGGGGCTCTAAGGGGGAGTAGGCGCCTAGGACTCCGTATGGGAGTTGGTGTGTTATGCCTTGACCTCCATTATTTTTATGTGACTGGTTAGCTTAGTGACTCGTGTTCCCCTTTTCTTGGGGATGAGTAAACTGAGGCTCATTAAAGAGCTTGTGACCAGAGAACACAGATACCCCAGAGAAAGGTCGGGTTTGGAAACTACAAGGGTGATGCTAATTTTGTGTTTAGGAAGAAAGAGGTAATGGGTAGGAATCAGTGTAAACTTACTCCATAGGCCACACCGAACCAGGAGTTCTTGTCGTGATTGCACTTGGTAGAGTTAACACACATGCACATTAGGGAAACGTTGGTGGCCAACAGGCGTTTCAGCGAGCGTTCGCACACCTGATGGGCCTTTGTGGGCTGCGGGAGAGATGTTGGCTGCACTCTGACCCGGGTATGCAGATTTGTATGTAGTTGGCTAACAGCAGTGCTCAGAATTTTGATTAATGGTTGATGGTGTCTGGAAGGAGGTCTTGGTTGCCTCTCCCACTGTTGAGTTTTGGCCTTGACCTTATTTGGTTAGTTTAATTTTTTTGTTTTGTGTTGTTAATATGCCGTCTGCCAAAAATAATGTAAGGTGCGGTGTCTCAGTTACTTGGAAGAAGGCTTAGCACAGAGAAAGAATGTAAAATTTCCATGGCCACAGGTGGGGCACCCATTCCCCCAGTATCCACATCTCACTGATGGTATCCCTCTCCACCTGGTGTTTCACTCTCAGGCCTCAAGAATTACTCCATTTCTTTTATCCCCCAACACACTTCCTGATTTAGTCTTGCAGCTCCTACCTCGGGAATGGATTTCCAGTGGGCCCTCCTCTTTCCATCTCCAGAGGCGCTCCCTGGCCCAGCCGCCCTCTCTGGGCTGGAGGGCTGCAGCCCTCTTCCTGGGCCCTGCTAGTTCTGGGCTCCTATAAATAAATCGGTCACTTGGCAGCGTGGATGATCTTGTTAAATGTAAATCAGATGGCCACACCCTGATTAAAACCCTGCATTGGCCTCCTCATCCCTTTAACAGAAACCCACACTCCTCCGGGATCCTGCTGATCGGGCCTTGTCTGGCTCTTCTCTCTTTCCTTGCTCTGGCATGCAGTCTTCTGTTTTCCTTGATGCCACTTTAGTTTTTGTCTCAGGGCATTTGTCATTTCCTAGTCTGAGAAACACCTTTTGCTAGTCTGTGGCTCCAGGTGCTTTAGTGTCTTCAGAGAGGCCTTCCTCAAACCTGCTTAAAAGTAACCTTTCCCTTCTTAACACCAGTCCTCCTGTAGCAAAGTGGTTCTCAAACTGTGGTTCCTGGACCCATGGGGGTTCCCCGAGATGTTTTCAGGATTCTGTAAGGTAAATACCATAGTGAGACTAAGACAATTAGGCTTTTTCACGCCGTTAAATTTTGCAATTTTTGGCACAACTGCTGACATCATAGCACAAATCTAGGTGGTGGTGGCGGTACCTAAGAGTGAGGCTGCATTACCTTTATATATCACAGTCAAAAGGAACAGGTTGCACCAGAGAAAATGCAGAATAGATATGACAATCTAGTTGTCTTCTATTAATCGAGACATTACAAAGATTTGTAAAAATGAAAACCATTCTTTCTATTTTTGGGGAAGATATATTTTTCATAAAAATATGTTAACGTAGTAGACATTTTAAATGGAGAAATAGTTTAAAAATTGATTAGTTTTAATTTATAATAGGACAAACATCAATAGATATAACTTACATAAACTAAAAGACTTTGAGGGCCTCTGTTTTTTTTGTTTTGTTTTAAATAGAGATGAGGTCTCACAATGTTGCCCAGGCTGGTCTTGAACTCCTAGGCTCGAGTGATCGTCCCACCTCAGCCTCCCAGTTTTGCGATTACAGGCATGAGCCACTGCTTCCAGCTGAGGGCTGCATTTAAGAATGTATAAAAGGGACCTGAAACCAAAATGAGGAACATTGCTCTATCAGTTACTGTGTTAATCATGTTTCTCATAAGTGAGGTGGTTTTGTTTTCTCTATTGCCTTATTATGAATTTTATTCCTAAGAAAACTGCAAGGGATGTAGGGATTTTTACAGATCGGGGAATTAAGCTCAGAGCGGATACCTGATTTTTTTTTCTTTTTGAGTTGGAGTCTCTATTGCCCAGACTGGAGTACAGTGGCACGATCTCAGCTCATTGCAACCTCTGTCTCCTGGGTTCAAGCAATTCTCCTGTCTCAGCCTCCTGAGTAGCTGGTATTACAGGCGTGAGCCACCGTGGCTGGCTTTTTTTTTTTTTTTTCTTTTTTCTTTTGTATTTTTAGTAGAGACAGGGTTTCACCATGTTGATCAGGCTGATCTCAAACTCCTGGCCTCAAATGATCTGCCCGCCTCGGCCTACTAAAGTGCTGGGATTATAGGTGTGAGACACCGCACCCAACCTGGAAACCTGGTTTGGAAAGTCCACCTAGTTTCTGAGTGGCAGTTGGGAACTGGATCTCCATTTGAATGCAAAGCATGAATTTTAGGCCTGTCACCGTGGCTCACACCTGTAATCCCAGCACTTTGGGAGGCTGAGGTGGGCAGATCACTTGAGGCCAGGAGTTCGAGACCAGCCTGGCCCACATGTTGAAACCCCATCTGTACTAAGAAAAAATACCAAAATTAGCCAGGCATGGTGGCTGGCGCCTGTAGTGCCAGCTACTTGGGAGTGCTGAGGCATAAGAATCACTTGAGCCCAGGAGATGGAGGTTGCAGTGAGCTGAGACTGCGCCACTGCACTGCAGCCTGGGTGACAGAGGGAGACTCAGTCTTAAAAAAAAAAAAAAAAAAAAAAAAGGCGTGCATTTTAGTGTTCTGCCTTGATAAATATAAAGCCCTACATGTGCATTAATTCCTGTATTCAACAACTTTTTGTTGTTGTTGTTGTTGAGACAGAGTTTTGCTCTTATTGCCCAGGCTGGAGTGCAGTGGCACAATCTTGGCTCACTGCAACCTCTGCCTCCCGGGTTCAAGTGATTCTCCTGCCTCAGCCTCCCGAGTAGATGGGACTACAGGCGCATGCCGCCATGTCCGGCTAATTTTTTTGGATTTTTAGTAGAGACGGGGTTTCACCATGTTAGCCAGGATGGTCTCGAACTCCTGACCTCGTGATCCCCCACCGTGGCCTCCCAAAATGTGGGGATTACAGGTACGAGCCACTGTGCCCAGCTCCACAACTATTTTTAAAGCACTTCCTGTGATAAGTGAGCCCTGTGCTGGGGTCTAGGCACACAAAGCTGAAAAGAGACATGATCCTAGGTATCCTTATAGTGGTTCATGGTGACAGATCGGGCACTTGAAGTCTAGGCTTCCTGGAGAAAATGATGTTAAAATTGAAATCTAAAGAAATGAATAAGAAGAGGCCCACTGAAAGAAGATTAGTTGAAGTAGTCAGGACATGAGAAGTGAGTCTCACCGGCATTGATGGGCAGCATTCATTCAGCACTTGCTGTGTCCCTGGCACTATCCTGGGGGCAGAAGGATGAGTGAGATATGCTTTTTTTCTTTATCGTAATTATTTTAACAATAATGTGACCTTGAGGGAAACCACATTTTGGAATCTTGTATGACTTCCATCTGTTTTTTCCAATGGAATGGTGCAAAATTTTTCTTTTTAGCTTGTGCCTTTAGTTGGCCTCCTGCTGTTTCTTTTTCCTTTTGGAGGGATATTTGTAATACTTAGTTCATTTCCAGAGAGTGGAGACAGGCAGACCATAAGCCCAATGGATAAACAAGTCTTTTCCTGATTAGGTTACCAGTTCAGGAATTTTCAGTTTTCTTCGATGAATTCAAGAGCCCAAGGGGAGGGCACCACCAGCGTAAGCTAGGGGTAGTAGGACTTGACCTTTTTTTTTCTTTGAGACAGGGTCTTGTTCTGTCGCCCAGGCTGGAGTGCAGTGGCACGATCTTGGTTCACTGCAACCTCCACCTCCCGGGTTCAAGTGGTTCTCCCACCTCAGCCTCCCGAGTAGTTGGGATTACAGGCGCATGCCACCACGACTGGCTAATTTTTTGTATTTTTAGTAGAGATGGGGTTTCACCATGTTGGCCAGGCTGTTCTTGAACTTCTGACCTCAGGTGATCCACCTGCCTTGGCCTCCAAAAGTGCTGGGATTACAGGTGTGAGCCACCTGTCACACCAAACTTTATTTTTTTAAGAGGCAGGAGGTAGCCAGAGCTGTAATACCCTTAGGCTTATGGTAACAGTGGAGTACTTACTTGCTTCAGGGAGACAACTTCTGCTTAAAATAGTAACTTTCTAACAATATCAGGTATCTATCCAAGGATGAAACCCTCCACTCTCCATAATTGAACTTTTTAGGTAGGCAGAAATTTGGAGTATTTATTTTGGAGACGAAGTCTCGCTCTGTTGCCCAGGCTGGTGTGCAGTGGCGTGATCTGGGCTCACTGCAACCTCCGCCTCCCGGGTTCAAACAATTCTCCAGTCTCAGCCTCCCGAGTTGCTGAGACCACAGGCACATGCCGTCGTGCCCAGCTAATTTTTTGTATTTTAGTAGAGACAGGGTTTCACCATGTTGCCCAGGCTGGTCTTGAACTTCTGAGCTGAGACAATCTGCCCGCCTTGGCCTCCCAAAGTGTTAGGATTACATGTGTGAGCCACCGTGGAGTATTTAGTATTTTGAAGGAAGTGTGATTAGATAACCTCTAAATATTTTATAATCCTGGCATTAAGTAGTGATATCACATGGGTTCGAAACCTTGGTCTTTCATACAAAACGAGCTTGGGAAAAGCTTTAGTGTAAACCATAATTCCTTATTAGATAAAGTCAATTCCATACTTTTGGAATGCTTTTTATATTTCATGCCTTTACGTTGTCTGTGTGTACAGAGATAGTGTGTCTCTGCTTTCAAGAAAGTAGCAGTGTTTTTCAAGCTATTTTTTGTTATAGAACTTTTCTTCACGTGAAGTATCATGGCAAGGCCTGCAGCATGGTTCTCACCCTTGGCAGCTCAGCATTATGGAATCTCCTGGGGGAGGAATTTATTTATTTATTTATTTTTTGACGGAGTCTCGCTCTGCGCCCAGGCTGGAGTGCAGTACCATGATCTCAGCTCACTGTAATCTCTGCCTCCCGGACTCAAGCCATCCTCCCACTTCAGCCTCCTGAGTAGCTGGGACTATACCCTTGCGCCACCATGCCTGGCTAATTTTTGTATTTTTTGTAGAAACGGGGTTTCGCCATGTTGCTCAAGCTGGTCTCAACTTCCTGGACCCAAGCGATCCCCTGCCTCAGCCTCCCAAAGTGTTGGGATTACAGGCATGAGCCATTGTGCCCAGCCAGCTTATGATTGCTAAGAGAAGCTAGAAATGTGTATATTTATTTGAAACCTCTTTGTTGTTACATTTAAGTAACTATTTTATTCACAAAAAACATCTGCCTAGGAAAGTGCACAAGTTGTAGGTGAGGAGTTTCATGAGTTTTCCTGTGGAGCCAGCAGCCAGAGCGTTTGTGCCCCTCGCAGTCACTGGCCCTCCCCGCACTGTCCTGGCTTCTGATACCACATGTTAGCTTTACCTGTTTTTGTTTCAGTTTTTCTTTTTTGAGATGGAGCCTCACCCTGTCGCCAGGCTGGAGTTCTGTGGTGCGATTTCCACTCAATGCAACCTCTGTCTCCTGGGTTCACGTGATTCTCCTGCCTCAGCCTCCTGAGTAGCTGGGATTACAGGCACGCGCCACCACGCCTGGCTAGTTTTTTGTATGTTAGTAGAGACAGGGTTTCCCCCTATTGGCCAGGCTGGTCTTGATCTCCTGACCTCGTGATCCATCCACCTTGGCCTCCCAAAGTGCTGAGATTACAGGTGTGAGCCAGTGTGCCCGGCCAGCTTTAGCTGTTTTTGAAGTAAATTGAAATTATAGTATGAACCCATATTTTTTCTGGCTTGATTCATTCAATATTTATTTTTATGAGATTATTCCTGTTGCTATGCAGCAGAACTGTGTTTTTTTGATAGGTATATAGTATTCCATTATATGAACCTGCCATAAATTACTCTTCTCCTCTTGATATTTGGGTTATTTCTAGTTTTTGGCTCTTTTGAATAAGTGTTGCTACAAACTTTTATGTATTTCTGGGCCATAGTGAATACAGCCAGCCAGTCTCCCAGTGACAGTCCCGGCTTCCTCTCCTACCAGCAGGGGGCGTGCGAGCACTTGTTCCGCAGGCTCAGTAGCACTTAGTATCGCCTCTCCGGGGGGATTCAGTCTTTCGACTTCCCTGGGCCACATTGGAAGAACTGTGTTGGGCCATACATAAAATATGCTAACACTAATGGTAGCTGGTGAGGTTAAAAAAAAAAAAATTGCAAAAA